TAGAACGGAATACACTCCACCGACACGAAACTGGCGACGCAGAAAGAAGGCATGGATCCAGGTACATCACCACTTGAACCAATTCCTGCAGAGATGGAGGGTCATCTCGCCGCCCAGCCAGTTGAACGCCCAATTTGGTGGCCGTCGACAGACTGGCACCCTTGGAACGGATGCTGAGCGGCAGAATCTCGGGAGGGTACAGCCAGGGGATCGGACCCCACGAGTAGCCAAAGGCTGCGTTGTAGATCATGACAAAGATGACGACGCACGTCGGCGTCCACGACACGTCGAGGTAGATGAAGTACGAGATGAGCGACAAGGAGACAGCCATCAGGATGGCACCGCTGAGCAGGATAGGCCGGCGTCCCCACCTGTCGACGAGGTACCACGGGGGAATGGTCGACAAAAAGTACGTGATGCCGTTGATGCCGGTCATCAGCACAGCATCCTGTCCGACCCAGCCGGCCGACTCAAAGACGTAGGGTGCGTAGTACGAGATGACGTTGATGCCGTTGAGCTGGGCCAGGCCCTGGGCGGACATGGCGATGAAGACACGGGTGCCGTAGCGGCGGAACATCTCGGCGTAGGAACGCTCGCCTTCCTGGCGCTGGAGCAGGACATTCATCTTAATCTCACGGAACTCCTCACGGGCCTTGGGGTTGTGAATGTCACCCTTGCCGTACAGGTCAGCAATGACAATGATGCCCTCTTCGTCACGGTCCGTATCGAGGAGCCATCGGGGCGACTCGACAATGATCAGGCTGCCGAGGCCGAGCAGGGCGCCCATGATACACTGCATCATCAGCGGAACGCGCCAGGACATGTCGCTCTGGATGAAGCCACAGAAGTAATCGACCCAGACCGACGTGGCGTAGCCGATGATGTTACCCGAGAACTCAATGCAGGCGAGCTTGCCACGGTTATGAGGAGGAGAGATCTCGGACTGGTACACGGGCACAATGGTCGACAGGGCACCGACACCGAAACCGGCAATGATACGGCCGAGCATCATCATGGGCATGCCGTTGGCCATGGTCTGCAAGGCACCACCGACGAAGAAGATGATGGAGCCGTAGAAAATGGTCTTGCGGCGGCCTATAATGTCACCGACGCGACCGACAATGAGGGAGGAGATGAAGGCGCCGATCTCGAGAATGGCCACCATGGTGCCGACCTCGGCTCTTGAGGGATCGTGGAAGTAGGCCTTGAAGAAGGGACCGCTAGAGGTGGGGCGTCGTCAGCAAGGGACAGAAACGGAGTAGGGATGGGGTCAGGAGAGGGGGTATGTTGTACGTGATGATTCCCGACATGACACCCTGGTCGTATCCGAAGAGGAAGACGCCCAATGACACGAAGATGCTGGTGAAGTACACCAGGGCCTTGCCGGTGAGGCCATGGACGGAGCGTCCGCCGGTCATGATGAAGCCGAGGGCGCGAAGGGTGAGGGTGGGACGAGGTTTCTGGATGCGAGGGACCTCGATGGCCTCCTTGTCGACGGGGCCCGGTCTCGAGGGGGCGCGATGGGCGTGTCCGGCGGGAGGCTGGATGCGGACTCGCTTTTGCGGGTTGTGACTCTTGGTATGTCGTCGTGCTAGGCCGGCGAGCAGCTCGTCATCGGCGTCGTGGTCGAGCTGGAAGCGCAGGGGGTCCTCGTCGCCGAGCTGCTCGGCAATGTCGCCCGTGTCGGTCCAAGAGGATTCGGAGCCGGACGCAATGGACTTTTGGTCGTAGTCGTGGCCGTGGCCGTGGCCGTGATGGTGTTGGTGTTGGTGCTGGTGGCCGCGGCCGTGACGGCGGGAGGGAGAGTCGGGGTCGGGGCTCTGGTGGGCACCCAGCAATGACGTCGCCTGTTCCTGGTCCGAGCGAGAAGGCAGGGTTCGAAGGGGGATGTTGGAGGGAAGACGGGCGGACTGTGAAGAGGGAATCTTGGGCGGTGATGGGGCTGTATGGCAGCAGCTCCCTTCCGCTTGAAAGATTGGGGGGTTGTGAAAGGGGGGAGGGGGGGGGCGGATGGAAGAGGGAAACGAAAGGAATGCGGCCGTTTATGTGAAGCGAAGATGCAGGCAGGCCGACAAGCAGAAGGACAGGCTGAGAGAGGCTGGCTGAAGGGTGAATCAGGGACTGATTGATCAGGAACTGGGTCCGACCGGCATCTGGGTGGAGGCAGGCGTCAGCGTACAGCAACGGCAGGAGGAGCACGACAGCAGCACAGCAGGGAAGGCAGCACTGGGTTGGCGGGTGCGCACTGGGCAGGCACCGCTGGGCTCCACTGATGGACACTGTCTGCCGCACCGTGGTCCAGATAACGGCTGTTGGGCCGCCAGTTGAGTGTGTGTCTCTCTTGCTGTCCAGAAACCTCAGAGATTCAAACATGTCTCCAGAGATAAGAGGAGCCTCCTCCTGAACCTGCCCGTCTCGACTGACCCAAGGACAGTGCGAGGTGTCCCCACGCGCCAAGAGACCACTGTAAGGCTGAGCGAAGGCCGGTGCGGGGCACCGTGTCTTGGGCGACCTCTCAGCAGGCTCACACAGCACGCAGAGGGCTCAGCAGACTGCCCTTCCCTGGAAAGTGCCCAGAGGACAACCTTTTCCAGGCCGCACGCCTGGTGCACGCTCGAGCGACCATCTGTCTCGAGGGCCCAGGACAGGCGACTGGCGCGCGTCGGGAGACAGGGAAATCCAGAAGGGTCAGACACACAGAGGGGAAGGGGAACGGAGAAGGGCAAATGTGACAGGGAATCGGACACGATGTGACGGAATCGACCATTCGATCAGATGCCATCCAACACCCCATCTTTTCTTCCCCAGCTCCTCTGCCTCTCTACATCTCGCTGGCCCCCCTCCCCGCCAGTCTGGAGATGCGCCAGAGAGCTCCGCAGAATCCACTTGACGAGAGGCCGTCGCTGCACGATGAGAAACATCGTGCCAAGCTAGGATGTGATGGGGGCAGCAAGCCAGACAAGGACACGAAAGAAGACCAGCCGGAGGGACTCACGTGTACAAATGCCGATTCAGGTGACAGGCCGTGTGCTGCGGAGCAGTCTGCTGAGTCCGGGACGTCGACGAGGGTGTGCGAGGCGAAGAGGGTCCTGGTTCGTCATGTGCTGCGATGCGTGTGTGTGCGCGCGCGAGATGTGGTCTCGAGTCAAATGCTGGGTCAAGGGGACTCGGTCGCGTGAAAGCAGGATCGCGACGGGGGGACCGCGCGTCAGCGAGCGAAACAGAAACGAACGGCGGGTTTGTCGGGTGAGGTTTGGGCGAGAGACAAGAGACGGGAAGGGACAGAAAAGGTGAGAGTGAACGAGACACGAGTTTGATCAATGGATTTGAGAGTGCACGTCTCGACACCACGCGAGAAACCACCCCCTATTCTCCTAACGAAAAGGCCGAATTTCAGACGTCGCTCGGGGATCCGGGGACCCTCTCTTCCCTGTCGCGCTCCGCTGAGCTTCTGCCCCCCAACGGCCGCCCGTTCTTGATTCGTAGAGCTGACATGACCAGCTGGTGGAAAGGTAGCCTCTGATTGCTCCAGCACGCCGATTACCTAACGTGACTATCCTGCATCTCCTTACTTTTTGTAACGCATGTGTCCGCACGTTCCGCTGCCTTCTTGGCTCTGACCCGAGAGCCATTCACAGGCCGCCAAGCCGCGAGGCTGGGCAGCCTGGTGGACCGCCAGCGAGATGATCTCGGTGGGGCCACTGTCGGAGTCGGACCAGGTTGACAAGCTCCCATCGACCAGCGTTTGGGGCGCTTGCTGGGACGGGATCAGCAGCAATGTTCGTCTCTGAACGCTGCAGCCCATATGGCGGTGAGTCTTCGCCGTCTGCCATCAGACCTCAGCGCGAAATCCTTATCTTTCAAAACATCTCACTTCCTTCGTGACATGCGCCATCTGCAGGTTCACGATCGCACTAGGTGCCTCACGATCAGAGTCGTAGCTCTCTCATAGCCCTCTGACGTCACTGGTGAGGTGAGGGGCTGCACAGCTACATGTGCGTGCGGTGGGTCCCTCTGCAACGACACCTCCACCAGACGCCCTGGCGTGCCTTTGTAACAGGCTTCCTCGCTTGGAAGTCTGGACCTTCAGTAATCCGGGGGGGACTGTAGACGATGAGTGAGCGTTCCTTGATGATTGTTCAAGAGTGTTAGAATTCCCATGCTGACATCGTGCTGGGGAGAAGTCCTCGTCGGAAGCTGGCATTGACGAAGCCCTCAGGAGGGTCTTCTGTGATGTATGCACTTTCGCCGATTTTGCAACCTGTTATATCATGCTCACCGGATGCATACCTACTAGGCACTCCAACAGCATACGCTTACGAGCTAGATCATATTGAGTCACTCCCTCGAAAGCCGTTTTTAAGCTGTTACTTGGATTTCGATAGCAAACACACAAGTGAATATTAACACAGGCATGTCCATGCTGATATTGGCTGTGGGAAACAAGAGAGATATTTGACTTGATCGGATTTGACCGATGAATATTTGTTCAGGCCAGCAAAATCTCGTGACTTAACAAGGACTCGATCGATGTAGTCAGCTAACCTCCATTCATATCATGACCTAAAATGGCCGGTTACTCGACTAACTTCCAGATGATGATGAGAGATCTCCTAAGGACCGACCCCAACGTTGCGTCCACATTGCGAAGAACCCCGAGACTGTACTTCATGATTTATCCTACTTTGTAAATCCTCCATTCCCTCGCTCCCAATTCCGAAATCCTTGAGAACCAAGACAGCCATAGCAGCTCTGATGTCTCTTCTTTCTCAAAGGTTCTCTCAGAGAGGAGTGAGGGGCTTCCGCAGGGATTTCATGCAGTCAGCTGTCAGGTACATGATGGAAGATCACCTGAAAGCTGAGTCTTGGCATGTCAGAGGGCCGCTTGTGGCCCTTTATTAGCCTCTGCAATCTCGCACCCCCAGAATAGCTCCCCAGGCCGCTTGTTTTGGTTCCTTCGCAGATGCCTCCGAGTAACCCTGAACGAACAAATAGAGCATCAAGGTGTTCGATCTTGCCGGGACGCATGTCAAAATCCTAAAGAAGTTTTCTCGTCAATCGCCTCCTTGGATTTCCAGCCGCCAGGATTGCGGTCTGCAAAAGAGTGAAGAGGTCTTCCGAAGGTCAGCACGAACTCACAATCTTGATAGCTGCAGCTCTTATTATACCCATTAATCCAGCGCGTATTGTCTGTGACTTGATGAAGGCTGCTCGTGTTATCCGCTTCAGGGCTCTCCACTGTTCTCAAGGATTATCAGCGGTGGTGTGATGCCAGGAGGAAGACCTGGTTTGTTAGTCCAGAGCCACCGGAAATAGATGGATCCTGATAGACATCATTTGTTTAAACATCGTGATACAAACGACGTCTAATCCTATGTTTGCATGACTTGAATGATCCGCCTTTGGTATGCTCAATTCTTGGGCCTCGGCAGATGGATGTGCGGCGGAGCAGGGACGAATTTCTTTCGGCCCGGACTCTATGGCTCCAAGAAAAGCGCCCCGGGCGGTTTCCGTCGTTGCCACCCTTGCTATATTGTAGATTATACCACCCTTCTCAAATACTTGGTCGATACGCTTGAATATGATTGGCATTGGAGCAATCAGCATCTCGCTAGGTTTTCTTCATAGAAACAAGAGATCAAACCAAGGCGATGTAGGGTCTCTCGACGTGAAGACCCAGGACACGACTTGAAATTTCACCGTGCTCTACTCTACAGCTTCCAAATCCAACAGCAGAGCGTGGACATGTACGAGTCGATGCAGTTGTCGAGGGACACCCTACAAGCACAATTTAGCGACTATCAGTCCTGGGCATTGGCAGCTTGAGATGATCAACGAAGCACCGCATGAACAGTTCGATTAGAGCATAACCTGGACAATGTAGCCTCGTGTGTGGAACACAAGAACATGATCATAGTCCTGCTCATTCATGCTGGCTGTGGCTTCGGACCTGGCATATGGATCGTGTTCGCTCCTCGTATGAAGGCAGTCGAGCTAAGTTGAGCATCAGCAGAATCCATTTGTGAAGAAGCATTAGATGAAGTACGAGAAGAAGGAGTCAAAGTTGAGCGCGCGGTTTGGCATCTCGGCTCGTAAAGATATCATATCTACGTTCCCCTGGCCATGCGTGTCAGAACATCTTTGCATCATGTTTGCAATCAGACAATTCTAGATTACCAATCCACGATGCGACGCGGATACGAGAGCAAGACGAAGAATGTGTCACGGAGCAGATGCCAGAGAAAGCAGACCCACGCCCCAACGGAGGGGAACTGTTTTTGAGATTGAACTGTTTTTGAGATGTTGTTTATCAAGTCGGGAGACAGAAACAACCAAGTTACGGAACATCCATGCTTCTACCAGCACTGAGGCGAGGTGGTCGGACCAGAACGCTTGACAACGACTTCAGGCTACTGATTCGTTATGACTTTACGGCTCTGTGGCAGACGCAAAGCTTTATGTCGTATTTTATGGGCGACAACACCCAAGAAGCAGGCATTCCAGTGAATCCATGGGCCACGCAGTCAAGCCCTCACAACCAACAAGGAGACTATACAGGATCTGCCAAATTGCGCCTGCCGATGTTGATCGCACACCAAGCTGGTAAGATGCGGTCAAAACCAAGGCGCAACCGGGCATTTAAGGTATGAGGAGAAATCCCGTCTCAACAGCAATACCCGCCACCACTTTTCTCGACAATCTGGTCCAGAAACCCGT